ATTTCTGGTCTCTTGGAATCTCTGAAGAAACTCGGTGCCTGATTCATTAGTTTTCTGTCTTATAGTTGTCAAATCGGTAATATTCTTTTCTCCTGTCCCAGTGTAAAAATGTGTATGAAACTTCTTCTCTAGGTCAGCTCAATTGGCGATGGAATTAACTGGTAGTGATGAAAACCAAGTGAAGGCTGGTCCTGAGAGTGACAGGGAGAAGAAACGAACTCGATGGGCCTCTTCAACGGATGCTTTGCCTAATTGTGTAAGATACCGACTAACATATTCTATTGTGCTTGTGCTGTCTTGGCCAGTGAACTTAGCAAACTCTGGGAGCCTATAATTTATAGGAAGAGCGACCAAATTATACCATTCTGGATATGGCCGTTTGTACGAGAAGGTTTGTCCTTTTGGCTTCAAACCAAACTGATTCTTCATCATCTCGGTCACTCTCAACAACAAATCATCAGCATTTGAATTTGGATTTCTCTGTACCTGCTGACCCGTTTGTGGCTCAAAATTTCGGGTACCTTGGTACCCTGGATTCAGAATCATGTGAAGGGTATTATAATCTGTGCCATAATGATATCCTTGTGGAATCTCTATCTGCTGGTTCCTTTGCTGGTTTGCTGCTTGAAGTCTCTGGTTATAGACATTAGGATCTATATCTCTACAGATTTTTTGAATTGATGGTGCTACTTTTTGAGCCAACGACGGTATGTGGCCTGATGTGCCAAAATTAATCATCTGGTTCTGACCTTGCCCCACCGACTGTTACACATGCTGCATTGATGATCTAGGATTATACTGTATCTGATTTGTAGTAACACCTTGAACTTGCTCAGATGAACTCTGAACTACCTGGACATCATCATTACTGGCTGGTGCTGCTTCTTGATAGCTGGTACCGGCTTGATTAGTCCCCTGAGTCGATAGATGTGAAATGTTGTAATAAGCCAGACCAACTGGAAACCCGTGAAACACCTCTTTCATGGTGTTGTGGAATGTGTTCAAGAAGATTTCATTATGGTTCGATATGGCATCATGAACATATTTGTTTATAGCTTCCACGAAGAAACGCATGTCTTCTGCTTCATCTGCATCTGTCTACACATGCAACAGAACTCTCGGTAGTGGATATTTTTGAACAATTGTATTGTCACGTGTCTTGGTGTAGGACAACAAACACTTGTTCTAAAATTCTTCTATAGCTTTGTTGATGACATCTTTATCTCCATCAGGTAGGTCTTCGTAAGGTACCATAAGGATGTCGTTGTTGTTGTAAGCCGCCATGACGATTGTGGTGTCCCACCGAGCGTGCCAGAACGTGTGTCGACACAAAAATGTGTCAACCATGTCGAGCATATGAGCAAGCCGGAAGGGTCTGCTCGATGGAGCTGGAGATCCGCCTGGCTTCAACGCAGGGATGATCGATCCTGCGTACTCCTCCCAAGACGTGCCAGTCAATTTGACTCTGCAATTGACAAGGAGAGAAAGTTTATTAGTAATTTAAGGTGGAACATGCCGGTCTGTGCCCAGACAGTTCCAAGTGTGCCGCTTCGGGAGCAGCCATACGGGAAAAAGCGACTAAATAGCCAATCCGCACAGAAATCGGCTGTTACGGACTTTAAAGCTTATGAGTAGCGATTGATTTTAAGTTGACAGGTACAGTACACGTATATGTAAATGAGAACATCAGCTAGACAGATATTGCTAGTGTAAACCATTAAGCCGATGAATCTAATCATGAAAAAATATAGCACACGAACGAATCGATTATCTGATACGAACGGATCTACAAACGCTCTGAATCTAATCTGTTACCACCAACAGTGAGGTTTGACCAGATCGATGGCAGCTATGATGATAGTAACAAACTAAAACCGAAGAATCCGCAAACACATCCGTACTTTGATAGGCTTTTCGAAAGACATGCTATACTGAAGGCTCGGATAAATCGGCTAAAACAGCCAATTCAGGTAAGAAGGACTACAGCGTGTGAACAATCGACTGTTTCACACGAACAAACCTGTAGACTCCTCAGACTCAACCCAATATCTCTAACAGTGGGGTTCGATCGGATCGATGCAGCCATGAAAAAGACAACAAATCAAGCCCTTAAAGCACACAGATTTATTCACGCTTAACAGAATCATGGACGCACACCATAGGCGTTAACGCACGGGCGATCGACTATTTAGCCGATGCAAGCATAGCAAATAGCTAAGGTCACGCCTAACCAGGAACAAATCTGCTAACTAGCATCCTCCAATCTACAGTGCCATCAGTGGGGATCGACCGGATCGTTACAGCCATAATGGTGAACCATAAACCAGATTCAACTAGCCAGCAGACCTCTTCAAGATTATGCATGCCTTAACCGCGTACTATGCACGATCAAGATCGAAGTAAAACAGCCAATGAAATATAAATCGTCGTTCAAGGTAGATGATATCGTGTTGTAACAAACGAACAACGGATCTAAAGGATATGAGGCCGATCTAATTCGATCTCGACCGGACAAATTAATGTTGTTGTAAACTAATAACAATGAAAACATCAGCAAAATTGGTAACTTAATGAATCTACCTGAAGGACGCCACCCTTAGATAGAGCCAATAACTTGACCTTAATCTAGTTCGAGTAGTGGAGGTCGACCGAATCGATGCAGCCGTACTTGAATTAGACAAGAGTCGATAACTAGCTTATACCAGAGTTGCAGTGGAGGTCGACCGGATCGATGCAGCCATACGAACAGAAGTATAAGCCATAACGGTACTTACAGACAAGCCGGAGGTCGGCCGGATCGATGCAGCCCTACTTGCTGAAGAACTCACCGAGATCTACTCTACTCCTACTCCTAAGGGGTGGCCCGAGCCGAAAAAGTAAGTAACTTGTATTTGATTGATTATGTCTTTTACAATAGCCGGGGTCCAATATTTATACCCGGAGCCTAAACATGAATCCTACTCGAGTACGACTCGTTACAATCTTTGGTATAGAAGAAAACATTCATGTCTTAAGGTAACTTGGACCATAATCTTTTCTCTTTTTGTAGAGTCCGATATGTAGTTCTCCGACGCCAACCGTAGCTCATCATCGTTATCTGCCGACGTCATTCAAGAGAGCCGATTCCAGTGTCGCGTCTGAATCAGCTGATATCGATTCTTATGCAATCGATTCCTTGATTGACACAATCTTAGAAACCTTTGAGTTCCCACATTTTTCTTCCAAATTTTGGTGTAAACATCACCAAAACCAAACTAGAGCTTTCACTAGTAGAAGCTTATGTTATCTATTATAATTAGTCGATGTCTGATCATTCGAACTATGTAGAAGCACCAATGGAGCGTCGTTAGGATCGTATGTGCCATGTGCTACAGGGTGCATGCAACCACACAGGCTAACTCAACTACTTGAAAATTTGTCAAGGACAGGGGACCAACGCCTACCCTGTTGCACATACATATAATCGTGACGACGCTCTATTGATGCTTCTATATAGACGGACGATCAACATCGACTAATTATAATGAGAGCTTATACCATAAGATAGAGCTTGATTTTAGAATAAAGCAATTAAAAATCCTACATTTTGGTTTAATCTTAGAAAATTTGTTTTACCTCAAAAAATCATACTATATCTTATACTACCCAATTTATTATATGAATCTTAGTCATGCTTATTTGCTAATAGAAGCTCTTGTTATCTACTATAATTAGTCGATGCTTGATCAACTGGACTATGTAGAAGCACCCGACGGCAGTGGAGTATCGTTAGGATCGCACGTGCCATGTGCTACAGGGTGCATGCAACCACATAGGCTAACACAACTACTTTCAAAATAGCTCGGGCTTGGGGAGAAAGAAAGCTAAGATGGATTATAACATGGACATATAGTCCTAGTTGGTGGCTCAGGTGCTCCTTTAGTCTCGGACTGAGCCACCAATCAGGACTAAAGGTGTGCGGGGTCTTTAATATAACCCTGGTTGGAGCCAACTTTAATGCATTATATTTCCTCTCATTCAATCTTGATAGTAGTAGTCTGAGTCACTACTGACCTTTTCGAGTCAAACGACGTGGTGATCTCGCATTATAGTATTATATATTAATCCTAATTTTGTGGGCGGCTTGCTCGGACACTTGTCATAGAATCCATGGAAACAGTGCGCACCAATCAGTGTCAGATAACTTTCATAAAATTGTTCGAAAAGGGACCTTTCTCTGATCCCTCTTTTGGTTGATATAAACCTTGTGGTACGTATCATACTATTTTCTGTATTGTATGGTGCATATCATGCATCATGATGTCAGTAGCCAATCAGCATGCAAGGAAAACATGCATTCCGAGTATGCTGACGGCCTCGATAGTCTCATTATTACTGTACAATACTAATGAAAGAAGAACAATCCAAATCAATGCAAGGACATGGTTCACCCACAACAAAAAATATACTCCATTCCATAAGTATCGTCGTCGGATAATAAAGTTACAAGGGCGCTCTCTTTGGTGCAATTACAAGCTTGCGCTTGCTTATTACAACTCATACATAGAGAAGTAAACTACAGCAGTACGTATGTACTATCAGCCTGTTCGTTTCGTCGTAAACGATCGTGGATTATTTATTGCTGGCTAGTTTAGTGTGAGAGAAAAATATTGTTCCAGCTTATAATCCACGATCGTATACGAGCAAACGAACAGGCTGTATACCTCTAGCCTCAGTTTCTTATGTGCATTATAGGATGTCAGAGGAGCATAATGACACCTCCAAACACGAGACACCCGGCTGAAACCGATGCAGATTATACTTACCTCTCTGACTCAATATATATCTGGAGAAAAAAAAGAAAAAAACAAGAAGAGAAACAGGAAACACATATGGATCCAATGATCAATATTCGTGTGACACTGTGACTTGACGTGCCATTCGAAGCCACACAAGGAGGCTTGCCTGCATGGCAGCATCGATCATTGCATTGGCCTGATGATGATGATGTGTATGCATGTCTAGCCATGGTGCTGGGGGTCCGGGCCACCCGGCACCTCCCGCTTGCGGGCGCCGTCGCTTTGCACGCTCTGCACATTCCACCTCCCCCTTCGAATGCCGCCCCGTCTGCCACCGCCGGTGCCGCCCACTCCCGCCCTCGCCCCGGCCCCGGCCACGTCGATGTCCGGGGCAGCATAGCCTGGCGGCACGACGCGAGCTTGGGCCGCCGTTGCCGCGAGCGCCGCGCCGACGATCAGCACCAGCAGGCTGCAGAGCATAACAATGCCGACGCGAGCCATGGGTGGAACGTACCGAAAACGTTCGCAACCAGGCCGACGATGCAGCGTGCTGGAACTTGTCTGCCGCAGGACGTGTGTATACCGATCGAGAGAGAGGCCCGAGAGCTGGAGTCAGTGTGCGCCTCGGTGTCGTGCTGCCCTGTCATGGCCAGGTGCCGCCCGCTATTTATAGGGCCAATGGGATGGAGTCACGGGGCAGCAGTTACAAAACAAACATTTGTTTGGAGGGCCCGGGCGTTTTTGTGGATAATTGATTAATTGGTGGGTGGTTTGGTTTAGGTGGTGGTCGAGTGGCCACTATCGCTGGCAGAGCAGCGGCTGGCTGGCTAGCGCCGGCAGGGCAGATCATGCACGCAGATATGCGGTGGTGCGCCATGGAAGTTTTGTCGACCGCTTTCTTCTTCCTGCGCTGACGGTGTGTGAAGTGAGATTATATCCGATAGATCCTGCAATGGCCCGGCCACGCCTTTTCGCCTTTCTGGCTTCCTGCAATCTGCACTTCGGCCGCGTTTCAGGCGATAGACGGCGAGAGGCCAATGCGGTGCTCCGATGTTGGTCAGCCGCTGCGATGCTTCTATCTGTGCTGACTGTGCATGTTGCGCCACTAACTACCTAGGAAGGTTCCATTCATGTGGATGATGAATGGAGTATTCAGATGTGAAACCCAAGTACTACCGAAAGGTTTTACAGGAATCGACGTTGACACCTTTTTCAGATCTAATCTAATTGATGTTGACAACTTGACTGCATCCGTCCGAGCTGTGTTACGGTTACAGAAATGTTATATACTGAAGTATATATGGCTATAATATGTACACATGCGTGTAAGGACAAATTGGCACCATAACTTTTCATTGAAACTCAGTTGCCAAGAAACGATCATCCAAAGTGCCCCTACAATTCCTCAGCAATCTCCTCCAATCCCCATGAAGAATGGTATATCGAAAGAACACCTAAAGTTGCAACTATTTACCCGCATTTGTCATCAATCAAAGAAATACATACGTGAACCCTATTCATCCACTGCCTCTCCCACCCCATTCAGCGCAGCACGCCCGCACCATTGCATTCCCGAATGCAGTCCAAATAATAGGTGGAACTTACAATTGGAAGTAGTAATGAACTGGTCCAGCAGTGCAGCAATACATGTGTTTTTTTAATAGAGTAGAACAGGATCTGTCATGTATCTATATACCTGTTGCAATGATGGTTGTGTGCAAATAGTAGATAAGTCAAGGGGAGAAGAAAAAGAAAGTTGCTGCAAAATGAGATGCCTTTGCAACATGAGCTCAACGAAGATGTCATGGATGACAGGGACATGGGCAAGCTACGAGATGCTATTGCAGCTGCTTTGGCGGCCACATGATAGAACCAAGATCTTTTGTTATGTTATTGTGCCCGCAAGAATATACTAATGGAATACAGTATATAAATGCATATATCTAAATGTATGTTAATTATGGATGCAATGGCGCCAAAGGGAAAATGCCATTTTTTTTGACAGAAAATACGGTAAGAAACATAACCTCATTTTTGCTAGATCGATAGAATCAATCGGCAATCTCATTTTGATAAGTAACCCTTGCATTCAGTAAATTGGATCGCTTTGGAACAGCAAACTTTTTGCAATCTCATTTTGATAAGTAACTGCAGGAATCTGCACTATTCATTAGATAATGTGCAAGTCTATAGTGAGAAAGCCCTTTGAATTCCTTGACCAAATCATCAGGTGTCAGGACAAAAGTACCCCATCATCAACGATTACTTAACGAACACCTTTGTCGCTATGCAGATAGTGCCCAGTGGGAAGGAAAGCAATAACTGATAAAACCCATTGCTTGGATGCTATAGAAGCCTTATTGCCTTGCCAATGTGCATGCTTCGTCAAAAGTCCCAGGTACCTCAGAGTGTCAGTAGGTGTCTCTGTCCTAGACTTGTGCTTTATCGTCTTTGCAACCGACTAACCACATCCTAACTTGCAACGACCGGCTGACCTCCTCATACTGCGAAAAGACAACTTGAAGAATTTTATGGGATAATCATTCCAAAGCAAACCAAGGGGTCACAGATGATAGATATGAATGAGTTGTCAAAAAGCAATCCACGTTTCAGATGCACATTGAGTAGGAAAGACACATGATATAAATTATAGTAGGTATTCTCAAAGTTCCAATCATGCTAAAGCACTCAGAGCAGGTTAACATCAGCTAGATTCAGGTTAAGCATAGTAACAAAAGGTAACTTACTGAACCCATCCCAGTTGCTTCAACCTCTCTATCGAGTATCGACTGTACATAGCTGAGGTGCACCTTGGCAAATCCAAAACAATCATCGTTTTCCTTTTACCCTCCTTTTGGCATGCTTATTGACGGAAGTGATGTTTTTCAGTAAATAAACGAAACTGAATATAATAATAGATTCTTCATGCTCACTACAATTTTAAGCCATGGCATGATTCTTCAGTTCTTCACATTCCATAGATTACTTGAATATAAGTAACGGTACAGTACCTGTCGGTGCGAAAAGTGACCAACAAGTGAATATTTGTAGTTTTGCCGTACGTTGTGATCGGATGTGGCCTAGCACTCAATGACACAGGGTTTATACTGGTTCAGGCAACATGCCCTACGTCCAGTTCCAGTCGGTGACTTTATTCCTAAGCCCAGGTGTTCGAAGTTTGCTGTGGGGTTACAAACGAGTGGGAATGAGAAGGGGGGTGTCGAAAATTCGGTCAGACTCTGAACCGAAGGGCCAAGAGTGACGGGAGCTCCAACATGCGCTAAGTATTGAAACGTATGCTCTGTGTAGCTTTAGAGCTCTAGAGCCGTGGAGCTGTTCGAGTGCTCAGAATGTCTAAAGCTAACAGAGAAAGAGTCGGAATGACCGTCCTTTTAGGAGAGAGCGCATCCCCTTTTATAGATAAAGGGGACGGCCTTACAAGAGAGAGAGTGTGTGTTTTCTAGTCTTGTTGCCTACGCCATCGGGTACAAGACAGTTTGTCGGCGCCCACAATACTATTGACGCCCAGATGCGTGTGGCAGGCTCCATCGTGTTCTTCTGGTATGGCAAATGTCGGCGCCTACCATACTGTAGGACAAATGTCGGCGCCCACAACACTGTTCGTGTTCTGACATGTCTGAAAGGTTGCAAAGTACCCCTCTGGCATGGCCTGGCGGTACTGTCCTACAGGCGTGCAGGGTACGGTCCTCGGTATTGCGGTTGGCTTGAGCGCCTTGCCTTATCTGCTTCGCCTGATTCTTGGGTCGTCACCGAGCGGACGTCCCCGGTCGGTCGTTTCCATCGGCTCCGACCGCGCCGGTCGGAGAAGAGCTGTAGGCGGCCAGGCCTTCCGGTCGGAGACTGGATCGCTCTTCCGGCCTGTCGTTAGGTATCTGGGCCGGCCCAGGAGTTGCGCGTCGTTTGTAATGCCGTCTACTGGGCCGAGCTTTTGCTGGAAAGCAGGCCCATTAGGGACCCCGGGTTTATGAATCCGACAGTACCTTTGGGACATTTCTACCTTGCTAATCATTTCCATTTAGCTCCTTGGACATGCACAATTCCATTCCCTTGTAACTTTCACAAAGTACAAGGATCAGATTCAAGTGCCCAAGGGAGCATTGTCATTGAGACGTAAAATCGTAAATGGTCTTGAGGGCTATGTTCCCAGGTCACCAAAAATAGCAGCCATCCTTCTTGCCTCTTCCTTATCCTTGCTCAACCCTAATCATGGTGATAACATTATGAGAGGCCTCGATGTTTGCTAAATGAATGATGTAACGTGGGTACCAGAAAGATTGATAATAATTGTGACCTAGAGAGCGGGCTTGGCACAATGTTGGAGTCTCTCCACTTGTGTCCTTGAAAAGTAAAGCAAGGGTACGGCTGTCTAGAAGTTCCCTTCCCCAAACCCCACATTATATAATTGCTTTCAACACTGGGTAAGTTTTGTAATTAAACAACTTAAGATGGTATTAACAAAAGACAAACTGTGGGAAAACAAATATGACAAACCAGAATGCTACTGCATCTACCAGAAAAGCTTCATCAATGAGGATGCATGATCTAACATCTAAATGGATAGAACAAAACAGACATGGTGATCGTATATCTCTCTTCTATTTTAGTGGTACTTCGATATGTGCAAATCCAATAAAAAATGAACTTGATCCAATACATACATTCTAAATATTGAACTAACAGCAAAAAAAAAGATTGGTTAAAGAGACGAAAAGCACACCTCCATGCAACAGGAATTCTATTTGATCCACCGCTGGCTAAAAACTTGTGCCTCTGTTACACCATATGTCTTGCATCCTTGGAGGAATGTGCGCCATATGACAGTGCTTGGTTGGAAAGGCATGCCTCTAATCACGACCTCAGCTTCCTTCAAATAACCACACTTGCATAGCATGTCAACCACACAAATGTAATGCTCCATATCAGCTTCAATTGAATAATCAGCTTTCATATGTTTGAATATCTCCATCCCCTCCTGCACAAGTCTACCATGTCTACAAGATGACAGGACTGCTAGAATTGCTACTTTGTCAGGTTTGCAGCCGTCCTTTTCCATGGATTTAAACAATGCCAAGGACTTACGAGAAAAACCATTAAGTCCAAGTCCAGAAATCACAGTTGTCCATGATATAAGGTTCCTGTCTTCCATTTTCTCAAAGACTCTGAGACAGTCTTCAATTCTACCACATTTAGCATACATATCTAGCAACATATTATCAACATAACTGTCAGAGCAACTGGAATTGGTCTTGATGATAAGCCCATGAATCAACTTACCAAGATAAAGGCTGTTGTTTTTGGTACAAATGCTCAGCAGGCTCACAGATACATAATTATCGAAACGGTGCCCAAAAAATCTCATCTGCCTGAAAAATCCAAAAGCTTCAACAAAATCACCATTCCGTGCGCAAGCAGTAATAAGTATGCTCCATGAAATAGTATCTCGATCTTGCTTATGTAGAAGTAGGTCCTTAGTTTCTTGGTACATGCGAGCTTTGTTATAGACGCCAGCTAAAACATTCATAGAGACACTACATGAGTCTGGATCCAGTGCAACTCCATAAGACAAGGCATCAAAAATAATGCCATGTGAAGCATACGATGATATGATAGCACTTGAAACATAGTCATTACCACCATGACCCAATCTTATGACCAATGAGTGAACCTGCTGGAGATCAAAAAGTGATGGATCCTTGAGAGATGAAGAAAAAGTAACTTCATTCGGTTTAATCCCTGATCGCAGCATGTCTCTCACAATAACCAAACAAGTTGGATCATCACAACCAGAGTGACCAGAAATCAGAGCATTCCAACACGTGGTGCTATTTCCAGGAACCCCTTCAAGCACTTTATGAGCATCCCCCCTACTAATACAATTTGCATAGAAACCAATCAATGAAGTGTTCACGAACACACTTGTGCTGAGATCGTGCTTGATAACTTTTGCGTGAACAAACCTCCCAAGTTTGTGTCCATCTATAACGGTGCAAGCATAGAGAACACTAGCAAATGTAATTTCATTTGGAAAAATCCCCTGACGTTGCATACTCAAGAAAAGCTCAAAAGCTCTCTCTGGGACATGACTCCTTGCAAAACCAGTTATCATTGTATTCCAACAAACCACATCTCTAAACATTATCTCATCGAATAGCTTCTTTGCCACATCTATTGCACCGCAAGTACAGTATGAATTCAGAAATGCATTTGCAACTGCTGAGACGGAATCCATTCCAATTTTCTTCATTACACCATGAACTTGCTCTGGCAAACCAAACGAAGGCAATACTGCAACAAACGAGCCATCTGACAAGCCATTGCCGCTTCTCATGAGCTCCCTGAACCAGGACACTGCATCGCGGCTGTGTCCAAACTGTGCAAACGAAGAGATGAGACAGTTCCAGGTGACAACGCTCCTCACGGTCATTTCACCGAACACCTTGAGCGCCTCGTCGAACTGTCCTCTCCGCCCAAAGAACCCCACTAGCGAGGTCCCCGAGTAGGGCTCGCAGTGGAGCAGGCCGCTCTTGAGAATGTGCGGGTGCAGCTGCGCGGCACAGCAGGCGGTGGCGGAAGGCGAGGCGAGGATCGGTGCGAAGGTGAACGCGGTCGGGGCGACGCCGGCAGGGAGCATGCGCGCGAGGAGCGAGAGGGCGTCGACCACGCGACCAGCGCGGGCGCGGGATGCGATGAGGGAATTGAAGAGGGACGCGGAGAGCGGCGGGCTCGGACGCGGCATCCCGTCGAGCAAGCGGCGGGCGCGGCATGGGGAAGGTGGTGGGAAGCGCGCGGCGCAGTTGTGTTGGCGCGGTCTCGGCCTCTCGGGGCTCTCGATGTTGGCGCGGGCACTCGGGCAGCATTGCCGCAAGCCCGCAAGACGAGATGACCTGCACCGCTGCACGCGATGGGCCAGCCGTGCCTATATGGGCTGGCGGGCTTGTGTTTCTCAAAAAAAAAAAGTTGAACTGTTGGACATCCTCGACGTTGAAAATTATGGAGGTAAACCGAACAACAAATATTTTTCAAGTTTTTTCCATGAAAATTTATGCAATTATTAAAAATATAAAATATAGTATAACCTTCGAAAAAATTAGCTTAGAAATTTATGAAACTGATTTCACATTTTCCCTAAAGCAATACTCTATCTTCTTCCTCGACTTGGAAGTATTTGAGTCTTCTATAGACTTATTTTGGTTTTTATTTGCTATTAAATTATCTTGTATGTATTGTAATTAGTCTACGTTGATGACCTTGACTATATAAAAGTTCAGGTGGTCATCGTGGAACACTAAGGACACTGGTCGAGAAAGCCTTCCTACCGTGAGGTTTTTACTAAATGACTAATATAGACACTGATACAGATCATATAAAATGCACTACCTCGATGGTTGTCAATAATATATATATATATATATATATACATATATACTCGACAGATACATGTTCTCGCTCAGGAGCTCTAGACGATACATATCACATGGCCCTTTGTCACGTGGGGCCTCCACATGGTTGGACTCCAGGCACGCTCGGATGCTACACCCACTTTTTGTCGTGGTGGGAAAATCCACAAAGTTGATTGAAGTGAAGGCAATCATCATGATCATTATGGAATGAGTTGTTGAATTCTCCCTAGATATATATTGTATATATCGATTTGTTGTCCCAATAACATAATCACTGAGAATGACATTTCCTAAATACTGTATATGTCAATTCCCAACAAGATAGAGTATTGCTTGAGCTTGAGCTTGAGCTTTAGGGATAAAAGAAAAAGGTTTCACAGGCAAGTGCGAGGAAAAGACGGAGGAAAAAGAAAATAAAAAAGAGGAAAACAAGGAGAAGGTGCAAAAATGACATTTGTTTTGTATTTGATCCATGCAAAATACTTCCCTGGTTTCTCTCTCTCTCTCCCTCCCTTCTTTGATTTGTTTCTCTTCATAAGTGAACTCTTGCATGCATCATCATACCCCATGGAAATCTTATACGAGCTGCTATTTTTGCCGGCACCGCCCTTCATAGATTCATAATTCTGAATCCATGATCACATTTGCAAACGCACGCACAAATCTGCATATGTTTGGCTTGGTGAAGTAACTTGCAGCACCTGACGGCCTTCTCCGATCCTGATTGCATTCCTGCCAAAATAATTTCACCAGAAGACACCTTCCATTTGTCCATGTGCACTTCTAATTAATATTATGCCAACAAATTAACATAACTGCTAAATTAAAAGTGCACCGCAAACAGGAGTCAAATGAAAGTCAGAAAAGTACGACCTATTTACATTTTAATAAAATGGAGAGAGCATTGTAGAGGATTCAGATTAAACAGTTGAAGCATTTGGAAAACACGCTTGCAACATATGTGTATAGTCACTGCAACATATGCAATATTCAGATGAAACACTTGCAACATGTGTTTGAAACAGCTAAAACATTTGAAACATATACTTGCAACACACGTGTATAGCCATTGCAACATATGCAACACCAGATATACTTTTGCAACATACAGATGAAACATATGCAACATGTGTTTGAAACAGCTAAAACATTTGAAACATATACTTGCAACACACGTGTATATCCATTGCAACATATGCAACACCAGATCTACTTTTGCAACATCCAGATGAAACATATGCAACATACATCTGAAATGCATGAAACATATGGTTGCAACATGTGCTCATCTACTTGCTGCCGTCCAACGAAGGCTCGTTGACGCGGGCGCGGGGGAGCGAGGCGCGAGCAGCGCGCGGTGCGAGGCATGGGCGGGGTGCGCGGCACGAGGCGGGTCCGGCGTGAGGCGTGAGGCCAAGGAGGCGCGGCGCGAAGCAGGTCCAACGCGAGGCGCATGGGCGTGCGGCATGAGGCGGTTCCGTCCCAGTGGAAGCGTCCATTTTTTTTAATAATGGGCCGGTCAGACCTAGTTTGCAGGCCCAGTGAAGACGCGGTAGAGAGCATTACCGATATAGAAAAGCCAAAACGTCTTATATAATTTAAAATGAAAGGAGTATATATGATTATGAAATAGTACCTGTCTAGTCCGAAACTCCGAATACACAACTTTAAGCGTGATCCGGCCAATCAATTGATCTGTGCAAAATACTTCCCTGGTTTCTCTCTTCCTTCTTTGCTTTGTTTCTCTTCATCATAACATAAGTGAACTCTTGCGTGCATCATATCCCATGGAAATCTTATACGAGCTGCTATTTTTGCCACCGCCGCCCTTCATGGATTCGTAATTCTGAATCCATACTCACTTTTGCAAACTCCCGCACAAATATGCATGTTTGGCTTGGTGAAGTAACCATGCAGCACACCTGACCTTCTCTGATCGTGATTGCATTCCTGACAAAACAATTTCACCAGAAGACACCTTCCATTTGTCCATTTTTTTTAGAAAAAGGAATATATTAATATCCCAGCTTTTACATCGACTAATGCATTTAGCTGTTCCTTATTACAAACACAAGCACTATGGTCCACGCAATCTCAAAAACAAAGTTTTGATTCAAAGAGGATAAAAGCAAAGTTTCTAAAATGGACATCTAAAAAGCAATTCTATTACTAAATCTCCAACCGTGTCTTGCAAACACCTCCATCGCGGTTGTCTCAATATTCTTGCATCTCATCTTTATCATTTGGCGATCCTCCTCCTTCCATTTGTCCATGTTGCAGCTCTAATATCATGCCAACCAATTAACTTAACTACTACATAGTTTTTGTTATGCGCTTAGATGTATACTATATCTATAAAATATCTTTGGGGGAGTAGTAGCAAATAAGCTAATTTTTGGCCGAACCAATAGTTCAAATAGCAAAATTACGTACACTGCAAATAGGAGTCAAATCAGAGTCAGAAAAGTACGACTTAGGATAAAACTAAAATGGCCTAGGCCTTGTTTAGATTGCAAATTTTTGCAATCTGGATACTGTAGCACGTTTCGTTTGTATTTGACAAACTTTGTCCGATCATGGACTAACTAGGCTCAAAAGATTCGTCTCGTGATTTACAACCAAACTGTGTAATTAGTTTTTTTTTACCTACATTTAATGCTCAATACATGCGTCCAAAAATTGATGTGATGGAGAGAGTGAAAAAATTTAAAATTTTGAGGTAATCTAAACAAGGCCCTATTTACATTTTAATAAAATGGAGAGAGTATCGAGTTTAAAAAAAATGGAGAGAGTATCGTAGATGGAAGGGCACAAAGTGCACCATTGTGCCGGGGTCTAATAAGCTGCTAAGTTGCTAGCTTATTCCCAATAAAATCCGCACCAAATCTATCAACTACGGTGGCGGCCGTTGTATACACGCAGAATATGCATCTCAAGATCGACGAACGGATAAGTAATGGTCGGTGTGACTAACGATTCAAAATCCGGTTGCATCCCGTTTTCTGTCATCTCAGACCTAATCGATCGATCGTCCCTGCCATTATCCTGATGCCATACATGCAGATAGCTAATTAAGTTACGTTGTAGCCAGCCGTGTAAGATCCACTAGTCGACATCAGGAGTGACCTATATCTTTGCTGATTGTACATGCGAGTATACTAGCTTAGTGTTCTTTTTGCCGACCTGGCGGTACAAGTCGCCGCCAACACGATCGATCGAGATGTTGGAATCGTTGGCGTGTCAGGTGAATAGGTTGCTGTCTGCCCGCCCATGCATGTGGTGGACGAGCTCACTTTGATTTGATTTTTTGGATCACGTACTCGAGTTGGGCTGTTCGTTGGCTACTTGTTATTATTGTTATCTTCGTTCCGGCCGGTGTGGCGGTGCTTGTCTTGCTTATCTGCTCGATCGCCTGGCTGCCTGATTTCTGAGTGTACTGCACCGACCTTACTATAGTGCATGATATATCGTTCGAGCAAAGGAGCCTATAGTTATATCAAACGTAAAAAGCTGCTATTGCTAAATGTTACATGGTCCCACGCTACTCCAAAACATGCTATCTCTACGGGTCAATCACTGTTGGATATGCTGGAGGTGACAGTAATCCGCATTCACTGCCGGGTCGTAAACCTAGAACCTGGACAATTATTCAAAGCCTATTGACCCGACAGAGAAGTCTCTCTCACTACCGGGTCAGACCACAACATAACAATGATATGCCAATGCGGGTCATGGTTTGACCTGGTAGGGGCAACATGATATATCACTGCCGGGTTATGGATTGACGGTCATATCCATCCATTGGATTCACCCACTCGATTACTCAGTTCTTCATTGTCGGATCCAGCTACCTATTGCTTTTGTTTAAAAACAGGCCCCAGGGTTCTTCCTTTCTTCCAAGGCGTTAGGCAGCAATTGATAGGTTCCTCTAGATGCGCTCTTGTAGTCTCACAGAGGAACTCTCTTTTTGGGATAAAGCTCTCCAGATACAACTCTTCATAGTTAAGATGGTGCACGAGAAGTACAAAAGAAGATTTGTGAAGACAGAGCCATGCCAGATCCAAGAAGCGCTACGAGCAATGCTAACATGATCCGGTTGGTTCTTAGATTCCACAGAGTTTTGGATGGCTTTGGCCACTATCTTCTCCTAGCCCCACTGTCCCCTCTGCCATGCTTGACACCTGTGAGACCCAAGGTACCCGAAGAAGGTTTATGAAATGTTGTTTCAATGGTACACTACTACCTATATCGGAGTATACGGGAACATCTACCTACGGTGGGGTTATAACGTGTTTGTAGGCTTTGATGTTAACATTGGTCTAGTCGGGGAAAGGTT